CAATAAAGAAACGTGAAACAGAATATTAATCCCGAATATCTGCAAATCTTTTACACATGACGATTTTAACGGAAGCCTTTGACGCGTATTAGGGAGTTTTTGCAATAACGTGAATTCAGATACGGTGAACGCTAAAGCCATGTTATCCTTTTCTTAATTAGTTGTTGAGAAGAAGATAACCTGACCTTAACGTTCACCGTATCTGGATAAACGGTATTGCAAAAACTCCCTATTATTATCTAAAAATAACCTTAAAACGTTTGTAAGAATCGTATCATTTAAATAAAAAACTTTGCTTTTTATTAAATGAAATAGCTAAAGTCTATGTCGTGGAATCTAAAAGGTTAACTGTCTTTGTATTCAGATCAACTCCAGTTTTCCACGAAAAAAAAAGAATCGTGGGAGTCTGCTGACGTAATACTATGAAAATTCCGTTTTTACGAAAATAAGGATTTTCGCGGAACGCGTGATGAATTATTTGCGTTACTGGTTGATGGTGATAAATACTCAATGATGCTCTTACGCGGCTCTCGAAACTCTTGGAAGCCGTATATCTGCCGCCCTAATTTCTCGATTTTCAGCAATTGTAATTGAATAACCGCGACTCTGGTGAGACGTTTTCAATTTTCTGTCGAGTTATTCGATAATATCTCGATTATATCTCGTATTATAGAAATTTGTGATATCTCGGTTCCCAGCAATTAATTGATTACAACTCAAATAAGACATTTTCAATTTTCTCTTGGATTATTCGCTGCTTTTTCCAACAAATTCCACGTTTCAGTTTATAATACGACGTGTATAATATTTAAAACGGCAAATATCAGGGCATAAATAAATAATGAAATGATATTCATTAACACCGTTACGGCGACGTTGTTGTAGAAGTACGTTACAGACGTGCGGTGGAAGCAAACGAGCGAAAATTCAGCATGTCTCGCTTTTCTCGCTTTCCGCGTCACATCGCAGGTACCTTCATTTCGCGACTTCTCCAGAAAGTAGCGAGAAGCAAACACTCGACAATTAAGATGAGAACTTCGTGTGAGATGAGATAGCTGCCCTGATGTTTTTTTAATACATTATATGCGGATAAACAGAGACTATATTTTTCGTCTAGAAACTCGATACCCTCCTTTTTCGGGAGGACATAAATAAATGGAAGTTCAAGTCTTTCAAGTTAAATCTTGAAACTAGATAACATCCGTTAAATTTGTGAGCTTTTAACCCATTGAAGCGCAGATGCTGTAAAGATGATTGTTAATGTTACTTAAGGTATTTCTCCAAAAAGATATGAGAGAAAAATGTTCCGTTTTTTTATATAGACTGATTTGTTTCGCATACAAAATGATCTGAAGAGAATGTTCTGTATGAATAAAATCTGTTTAATATTTTATCATACTCTATCATAATGAAGAAGTAAATGAAGAGTCATTTTAACTTTTCATTGCCTCAAGAATTACGAGGTCGAGAAAACTGAATTTTTTTTTTTCAGAAACCGTCAATCTCGAATGATCGAATAAAGCACGAGATTATCGTATCTCGTTAATTCGATTATATTTTTTCCAGCATCGCTCTAGGAATGACGAACATTGCGGTCGAACGCGATCGTGCATGTAAAACTCACGTTAGTTTTAGATTTAATGAGTACTATAGCGAAAAGCGAATTCAACTTCACCCGTTTCTACATTAATTTGAACGGACAAAGAATCTTGCGTGCTTGATCGCGATACAGTAAGCACTCTCCCACAAAAGAGCAATTTGGCTGAGAACGTAAGCTGAAAATCGACCTATATATCTACAAGCGATTTTAACCGATGTTATACATGTAGTGCACCTTATCTAATAGAAAGTTTTTGGCTTGAATACTCCTGTATGTGCTGTCGAAACTTTAATCACATGTTTCGTGGAAAGGTCCTTTGCTACTGACTAACGTCACAGATCAAAGCATTTGTCACAATTTATAACACAAATTATGACAATGGAATACTCGAAATCAAGTATGACTTTCCGATGATAACCTTTCCTTTGTTCATGCGAATTCCTCGTGTACCTCTTTCAAATCCATCATTTGATCGCGGTCGTTTCTACTGTGGGTAAAGCACGTTTTACGATGAAAGCGAAAATGCGAATGATAGCCCGGTGAAATCTTGCGTGTAAGCGCGAGAAAATATAATCCGGAATAGGATGAAATTTTGCGGAAAAGTTTCTCGGCTGACCTCATCAATCATGACGGACAGAGGACGTTGTGAAGCTGTATATTGCACTTAATAAATTAGAAAGAAAAGAATCTCTCAAAATTGCGAGATTAGTCTTGCTTTCAAATATATTTAAAAATATAAACATTTAATATCAGATCGCAAATTGGATAGTAAATCTAATATACAGTAATCTTAATTTCAAAGGTTGGACGGAGAAGAATATAAAGTAATACATGTTAAAATTCTAGTTTTCCGCCGCGCGGAGTAATTGGAAAAGGCGACGCAACTAATTTCCAAGTCGAAGTTTTGCGTCCGACAGAAACTCGCGCCTCGTTGCTCGCCGTCTGTCTCGCGTGTCCGTTTCCTTTTTCTTTTCTTCTTGGTGACTTCTGTGACTTCTCGACACGCGTGGCGCCTCGCGCAAACAGGGCGTACAATCAGCAAGTTTTGCCTTTATTTATTCAGGACAGATCCAAGGATCCACTTTTCCGAACTTCGCAAAGCCAGGTTCTCATTTTCCCAGGCTGCTCGCATCTCTTCATCGTTTTTCAAACAGTGGCGATTTTTCCACGGTCGCATTCCCGCACTTCTAGCACAGCGGTAAATCGCACTTGGCAAACTGTCGGCGTTATCAAGTGACACAGTAGTATCCCGCGCTATTAAATAGACGCGTAGTACGAGATCGCCCCGTGTCTTTACGCGAGTCAGCGAGTTGCGAGCATCCGAGATTATCGGTTTTTCAATAAAGGCTGAACCGATCGATTTATTAGTATAAACTCAATCGACAGCTTGGGTCCGAATTAAATAATAAGTGTTTATTTGATTGACCTCTAAGTGTCCTACGAACGGACCCAGAGAACATGTGTGTCTGAAAGACGTATTGAACTAGACGTCTTTAAAACTTTCCCAAAAGACGCCTTTTAGACGTCTTTCAAACATTTTCGAATGATATTAGGAAATTAGCCAAGTTTCGGAGCATGTGTAGCAATTTAGATTATCGACTACAAATTTTATTTATACATCAAGTGCATAACACATGGTTTTAAATATAATACATAATCTATAAAATTATTGGATATCAATTAAGGGAATCCTAAAGCGAAGCTCGAACAAAGTCACCAGAGATCGCTGTTTTTCCAGCGCATGTCTTTAAATTAGTATACTACTACACCAATATCTCACGTAACCTATGATACACAGGCGCACGTTCGTGTCAATTTTCGTATAACAAATTTGTCGCGTCTAGTGTCTAAGTCTAATTCTAAAAACTCGACGTTTATTTTTTTCGTGTAAACTATGTGTTGTGGATTACTATTTCGTAAATACAAGTTGCAAAACTTTCGTACCAAGCAAATGGTGTCACGACTTGACAGTTTGAAACACCCTGTTACACTAAGAAATGATAAAAAATATATCAGTTTCGAAATTTTTGATTATTCTCGGCATAAACTCCACTTCACAAACACGTATTAATGCGTATACTTTAATCCTGGAAAAGGATTTTCGAATCTGTGAAAGAGAAAAATAGTATTTGTTATACAAAAATTGTATGATTTAACGCCGGTTGTTTCATCTTTTGATAAATTTTACCTGTTAGGTAAATCTGGCAATCCACCATGGATGGGTATCTTGCTGCTTACCCAACAGTAAAATTTATCATAAGGTGGAACAACCGAGCCTTAGTCAATAATACAGACGGATTTTAGGATCCCCTTAAGACGTCTTACAGACTTGTCCCTTATGACGTCTTACAGACATTATCCTTAAGACTTGCCTTAGACATTTATCTAAAAAATAAAAATAAAAACTCACCCCTTAAACATAAGTTAGCGTACGTATAAAAAAATACGTGTCTCTTAGATTTTCGTGTTTTACAACATATATTGGAGAATCAAATCGGTTCCGGACTGTTGTAAAACTTCCCTTGTTAGATAACTGAATTCTGTTAACAATTTACATGGAGCATTGATAAGGACCCGAAACAGGATCGAAACGTCATGTTGATTTAAATAAAACAATTTTCATATTGTCATCCTGTGTTGGCTCGAATAGGCGTTATTTGATTGTACTAATATGTTGTACATTTGCACCGTCGGATTTTATTTCTTATTTCTCAATAACGCTGCCTAGTTACGCGTTCTCTCACTATAGGGTAACTCCGGTATATACGCTGCGCACCATAATTTATTAATTATTATGTACTATGTTTAAGATAAATAACCTATATCAGTTAAAACTTTGTACTATCTATTATTATGAAAAAAAATTGGAAATTCCAAATACTTATTTTTTGTATTAAAAAAAGAACTTTTTGAAACCTTGCATTTTTGGCGTATATCTCATAGATGTAGGATATGGCAGTTACTCATAGGGGGAAGGGAGGGGAATATGTACGGCTCATGAAAAATTTACAAATAATAGCTTATAAATAAAACGTAAAATGATACAATAACTTAGAAAATATGTTTTCCAAGTTTTGTTAATAATTAATAATGATAAAAATATGTAGGTATATAAGAAATAATACATATTAATTACTTTTATCCACTTTTCAAAAAAAAGTTATAAACAAAGTTAAATAATTCATCACTGCACACGCAAATGCGTCTACTTCCAAATTACATACGGGATTCGATTGTCCACCATACTTACTAGACAGTACAAAGTTTTTGCTGATATAGTTTATTTATTTTAAACATAGTTGTAAATAATACTTAATAAATTAAGGTGCGGCGTATATACCCTACACTGAGAAAAAAATGCTTTCTAATCCTGGCGATTTATTTATTTTTCTGTTTGCAGAACAAAAAGCAGTCAGCGTTGGATGAAACTGCGCACGACTGTGCAAGTATCATCAGCGATGCCTAGGAAGCCTGTGTTAAAACGTGAAGATTCATTTCTCAAAAGATTTTCTAGCCGGCCGATTCCAGAAAGTCAAGAGACACTGGACATTGCCGAGGGTGACGGGGATGAAACAAATGATAAGGATATGGGTAGTCGACGAGGCAGGCGACCTCGTAGGCTGCAAAAACCACCGAAAACCGTCGTAAATCCCGACGAGAATTTCTATTATTACTGGTTGATGTTGGTGTCATTCTGCGTCCTTTACAATCTATGGACGCTAATCGTACGCCAGAGTCTGCCGGAGCTGCAGGCTCTGGCGCCCAATATTTGGTTCGCCCTCGATTGTTTTACCGATATTATTTTTGTTATGGATATATTAGTACAATTTCGTACCGGTTATTTAGAACAAGGATTAATCGTGTGTAGCACTAAGAAACTTGCTGCGCACTATTTTAAATCGAAATTTTTTTTCTTGGATTTATTCGCATTGTTTCCTCTTGATTTGATGCAAATGATTCTCGGCACAAATCCTATTTTACGAGTTATGAGATTTATTAAGATATATAGAGTTCATACTTTCTACTATATGGTCGAAGCCCGTACTATATATCCCAACGTTTGGCGAGTCTCGAACCTGGTGCACATCTTACTCATGTTGGCCCATTGGTTTGGGAATTTTTACTTTTTGTTAAGTGAAGCTGAAGACTTTAAGGGAGAATGGGCGTATCCCTACAGACCGGGGGAGTACGCCACTCTCACGAGAAAGTACTTAGGGTCGGTGTATTGGTCGACACTTACGTTAACAACTATAGGCGACTTACCGACGCCTGAGACAAATGCCGAGTAAGTAATATAATTTCTATCGATACTAATTTATATAACACTACTTTTGCTCCTCGCTACCCTCTTTTGTTTTTTTTCTTTTTTTTCTTTTTATCGTATCGCTTTTATCGTCCTTTCAAGAAAATCATTCTTTCCATTTGCTGGAAGGTATTGTCGCAGCATATTTCGTATAATATAATATTATCGGATTCATATAATACATATTATCAGAACATGTATCAATGCATGCCTCGCGTATTGCGCGTTCTCCGAGAGCCAGATCCCACTAGACTAGGGGCGAGCACTCTCCATCTCGCGTAAATCGTATTCAAATTCTCGTATACCATTTGGATGCAAACAGGGTGTTACACGAACACTCTGTTTGTCATTGTTGCAATCGTTCGTTATGCAACGGTATCTCCCTCGTGGCGTCCTAAATTTCGTGGGCGTTGAATCCGAAAACGGACACTACGAATCCTGGAATTAAGGGGTCTAACCACCCTGACAAAATAAGCACAAAATTAAGATTTAAAAAAGAAATTAACTACTGCATAGAATTAATCTACATTGGTGGAAACGGGCATTAGCGAACTTAGATGCCTAGGAATTAGACTCGTGAAGCGGCCTTCTTGTTGTTGTGTTGGCAGAATCATGGTCCGCAATCTCCGGAGGCTCGCTCGTCGCGGCCGACTGTCCAGGCTTCTGCAGTTCGAGCATAACATTGGGTAGGATTGTTTCTAAAATAAAAAAAAAAACGGAACAGAGTTGCCACAGACCTGGAAAACCAGGAAAAGTCAGGAAAATTGAAATTGATCGTGGAAAATCGGGAAAAGTCAGAGGAAAATGTAAAAAAGTCTAGAGTTTCGAAATTTGCTCACAATTCCCTGCTCCTATTTCAAATAATTATTATAATTTTTTAAATATTATATCTGACGTTTATAGTCAAATACGTTCAAAACTTGTGCACTTTAAATGATTTTAATAAAATAATTAAAATTTATATTTTATTCAGTATTTTTATTTGATCCCTCTTTTTCGTCGAAACTGCATTTTTTTCCAAAACTAATTTATTTTGTGCTGGCTTGAATTTGCACCCAAATTGTACTATGCTACTAAGCTTTTTTTCTGTTATTTTTAATAATATAGACCAACTTTCCTATAATCCTTGAGTTTAAATATAAAAATTTACATATTTTTTATATTACTCGTGGAAAACTATCCATTTTCATTTGGAAAACTTGGAAAAGTCAGAGAATTTAAAAATTCATTTTCTGTGGCAACCCTGGAACGGAAAAAGAAAGGGAAAATAGGAGTAAGAGTGAAAAGCGAGAGAGAACGGGATTGTGAGAGATGGAAGAGCGAGTGAGGGAAGGAGAGAGGGAGAGAGGGAGGGAGAGGGAGAGGGGGAGAGAGGAAGAGGGGGGGAGAAAGGGTGAAAGAATGAGAGGGCGAGAGGGTGAGAGGGTGAGAGGATGAGAGGGAGAGAGAGAGAGAGAGAGAGAGAGAGAGAGAGAGAGAGAGAGAGAGAGAGAGAGAGCCGGATTCGGATTCAGCGCAAAAAATGATGTAACTTTCTCAATTCTGATAAAATAAATGGATAAATAAAATCTATAAAATAAATAATGATAACGAAGTGAACAAGGATAACGAGGTAGACGAGAAGGATAAGATAAATGAGGAGAACGAGGAGAACAAGGTGGACGATTTGAACAAAAAACGCTCGTTAGGGTTAGGATCTCGGACGAAGGCTGATTCCAAGACTTAATACCGTCCCCCCAGAACCCTAGGAGGGAATGACGGGATAAGGGTGTCCACAATTCTCGATAAAACGTCTCGACGGCGACTCATCGATCACTCTGAGTCTATTGCAAGTTTAAGAGAGACGTTTCCGACCACGTGTCGGCTCCTCGTGGCAACACTTATTCGCTGACATTGATGTAAAGCACTTATACTTCTTTTGCCAAAGTGTATCTTTGAATAACTGCACCTTAGTACACTTCGCAACAATTTTAAGATAAGTAAAGATTTTTACATTTTTACTTGGCAGCTTACACGAGAAATGCATTATATAATATAATATCATGTATATGTATTACGACTTTACTTTAATCTTTAATATTATAATTTATATTTCTAATGTACATTTCTACCAATAAGTAAATTCACTTTAATCTCAGTTCAATTTACTCTATCTTTTTCTAGTTTTAAAAATTAGAGAGAGAGAGAGAGAGAGAAAGATAAAGATTAAATTAAATCGACATTCAAGTTAAGCTGCCAAGTAAAAATGTAAAAATCTTAACTTATTTTAAAATTGTAAAACTGCACTAAAGTACAGTTAGTCAAAGATGCACTTTGGCAAAAGAAGTATAAGGGGATTAGTTATGTGACGCTAATAGCCATTCCATTAGATCTCATTACACCGACTGTCAATTCAACTTTAATGTCAATAAACTTGAAACGTCAGCGTTGTGCACTGCTTTTATCCACTCGCCCTTCAATTATGTGTGATTTGATCACGAAACTAGAGATTCTACATCTGACGCATTCTGATATGTTAAATCACGCACGCACGCACCCATCAGAGTATTCTGTCAGTTTATGAATAATTCAAGATAAATCGAAATAGAGCGTATAAGAAACATCTAGAAAGAGAGAAAGAGAGAGGAGGGAACATTCAATTTTAATGCGATCAACAGTGCGATGCAACGTAATCGATAATAAACGATTGATGTACGTGAGATCGATATACATTGCAATATTAATCATTTTCCGTGTAATTGTGATTAGTGCGACTTTAAATAAACATATGTTCCACGCTTAATACCGCAATAAATGGATACTCGATACAATATCCGTTTTCGACCCAGCGAAGCGGAGTAGCAAACCTTGATTTAGCGGAATTACCATATATCCGTCATGTAATAGCAACTTGCGCGACGTGCATCGTCGATCACGGACCGATTTATCGATCAGCAATAACGTGACTAAATACCATCCGCGAATTTTCCACTCTACAAATTAATACGCGGAAAACTTCGAATGAAAGTATTCTGATGTAAAATGAGAAAATTTTATATCGGTTTTAATAGAAAATATTCTTATAAATATTTACATAGAATTATTGTATAACATATTAAAGTTGGGAAAAAATTATTGTAATAATATTTTATAATGAAAATAAGCAAATAAACCAGTAAACTAAAGTAGATTATAACAAATTATAAAAAAGAGCATTAATTTTTCTTACATGCGAAATAGAGAAAAAAGAAAGACTTATTATAGCATCAATTTAACTTTTCTTGAGCAGACAATTTTACAAGAAATTATAACAACTTTAATTTAATACTGTTTAACATTCCAATGGTATAACATAGTTATGAGAATAAAAGGATATATTTATTCTTTTCTAACTGATCTCGTTCTTTCAGTATAATTTCAGTTTTTAATATATTCTTTACGCGCTTTCATGTCGAAAGTAATAACAAAGTATCGAGCGCAGCATTATCAATGACTTTAAAGGAACAATGAAAAACGAACTTAGTGAGACAATGTCGCGCAAATTATCGTTCTTCTTAGCAGTAGATTAATTACTTTGGCACCCGAACACGATGGCACTGTGAGAAACTCGATTTAAAAGTCTCAATAAAACCGTTTAACTTGAAAAGTCTATTCGATTTCACGTACCTACTTCATTCTTTCTACCGAGTGATAATACTGCTTAATTTTAAAAAGCAATAGTACAAAATTTTTTCCGTCATATCCAAAACATTTTATATACAACATTATTTCGTCGAGTTACTTGTATATATTTTTTTTTTTTTGCGGAACGATTATTAATAATCTTAAAGTGAGAAATAAGTTATAAAGGCGCGGATGGGATTTGTTATCAGCCGATGAAAACTAATTTCCCAAGAATTAAAGTCCTTCCTCGGACGCGAATATCGCGAGGAACATTTTTAAGGAGTGAGGGATCACCCTCATTCTCGGATTCTTCGAATATATTTTACGAGATGATTCAACGAAATGAGAACCTGCAAGATTACTTTGCTTGCTTGATTAAAATATCGGGGATTACCAATGCGTCTGCGCGCAGAATGCTGAAATGGATTTTGCGAAGGCAGAGCTCGTCGGACTAAGACCTCTCTCTCTCTCTCTCTCTCTCTCTCTCTCTATTGGTTTTAAAGTTGGCAGTGGGTTTCATCAATTAAAACGATGGCAATGAACGAAGTTATAGAGCTCATAAGCTGTTGACATGCTAACCCAAGCGGCCGAGAAATTGCGAGAGCCTTTTGCGGAACTTGTGCTGTCAGCGAAACAAGTTTGTACGATATACACGGTGCTTGTACAGTGTACACGCGCCCCTTTGTCGCTTCAACAGGAACGTAATCTGTACACGAAACGGTGTATATGTACCAGAATAGCTAAATATCTTCTTAGACAAGAATATGCATATGAGAACTATGTTTACCGAATATACATCAAAGCAAAATTTTCAAGACATTAATTTGCATCTATTAAAAAATTTATAATCTTATAAAAGAACTTTCTCTTTATTTTGTCATCTATATTTCATTAACTGACTTGTCTTATATAAAATAGTATAAGTAATTTTTCACTGCGCGTGGATTAGGTAAAAATATAATAAGTCCCATCTCTCGAGATATCAAGTATAAACGTACCAGTTAATGACATGATCTAATTGAAAGAAGTAATAAAAATGTTAAATATTTTGCTTTTAATGGTATGTACGACTCTAAATAAATTCATCTTATTAAATTTTTATAAACAACGAATTTATTTAGAATCGTATCATTAAAAACATAATATTAACATTTTTGTCATTTTATTCAATAATTGGATTATGTCCACTAACTGTCCACTAGTTGGTACATTTATCTAATCATTAACAACAAACGATCTCAAAGTTGTTTTGAGGTCGTCCGCACGCGAGAAATAAATTATAATTTCGGAGATTGCAGAATTTTCGACTTAAATACTTTTAACATCGCGCGTCTTTTCGGTTACTTAGTCCTTGACTTGTAGCCCGGCGGCAAGATCGCTTAATGATCTGATTATTCTGAGTATTCTGCACCTGCGGGAAGGTCGATCTGTCTGCAGAATTCTCTAGATGGTGAGAGAACGATCGGTTGGAATCTCATTTTGGCCGGTCAAATTTGATCTCGCTTTACCTCGAGTAATGTCGAACGAATCGCAAACTGCATTCTCACGATTCGACTCATAGAGTCCCTAGGGTTTCCCTAGGGAGGGGTCACTTCCGCTCTCAATCCTCGATAGTTTGCCGAGCTCGCCGCATTTCCATAAAATTGTCTGGATTATGGCGTGTGTCTCCTTGAGAGTCACATGTTTGTTTACACGCGCTATTTCGAGTCTTTAAGTTTAACTGTACGGCGAGACTAGACGTCGCGTTTAAAATTAAATTACAAGGAGTACTGAATTAATTAATACCACCGTGAAGTTTTCGTATCATCTTAATCCGTATATATTTCAACATTATTATTTTTATTGTTTATTTATATAATTTTTACAGAACATACGGAGATAATTATACTTTAATTATCTCCGTATGTTCTATAAAAATTCTGTTTATTTAATTTGTCTCTATTTGCTTTGTGTAATAATTTTTTACTGTTCTATTTATGCCTTGCATTTATACTTTAAGCATTCTTGTCTTCTACTCTCTATCGCGTTTATTAAGCAAGATACGCTTTTATTATTTCATTTCTCTGTAATTCACAATTTCTAATTCGTTTCGTTTTCTGGGAAGTTTTAGCAGTTCTCTCTCTCTCTCTCTCTCTCTCTCTCTCTCTCTCTCTCTACTGATGCCTCACTATTTTTGTATATATTTTTTAATTTAATAAGTATTCCAATTATATACTAACTATAAGTTAGTATATAATTTATTAAATTAAAAAACATGTACAAAAATAGTTAATTGGAATACAATTATGTACTAACTATAAATTTTATATAGTATATAATTGTATTCCAATTGTATACTAACTTATAGTTAGTATATAATTGGAATACTTTATTAGAATGAAAAACGTGTTCATTAATTAAGATTTCGCAATTAAAATTTTAGAATTCGCACACTGATGCGATTTATCAATCGCGATTTATTTCAAAGACGTTCGTGATGAAATGAAAATTCTTGAACATGAGCGAAATAAGCAAATAAATGATTCGTATTCGATTTAATAAAAAAGAAAAACAGATTGTGAGAACGCAAATGTAAAAAAAAATATAGCTTAATTAAGCAATTTGATTAGGAAAGCGAAAAGATCAAATGAACATTTGTACGCGTACATTTTAACGTAAATGAGGGCGTTAAACTGTGATGTTCGAAATGACGGAAATAAAAACCAATCTAAAGCAAAAAATGTGAAGCAATAGGAATAAGCGATGTCAATCACGTAATTAATTATGAAAATTATTTAATCAAGACGATATGAGCGATTTGATTTTTTCAAATTTTTCTATAAATAATCTAATTAGTAAATATTAACTTTATTTTATAGTTAGCCTGAAAAAATATTTACGTAATCAATTAGCGTAAATGGAGAGAGAGATATATCTATACCAATTATTTCTGTTTTAAAATATTAAAAAGGAATTATTAGGAATTATGTTTGAATAAAAGGGAGAGTGGTTCGAGTATTGATTTATCGAACATCGCCCTTGGCGTTGCGCGTTGGGTAGAGAGATGGAAAGCCATCACAGGGAATGAGAGAAATACTGAAAGAGGGGAAAAGTTCGAGGCCGGTGGAAGTGAGAGAATTTTGTGCCGGAAGGAACAAGAGGAAGAAGAGCGAAAGGATGTTTTTCTTAGAAAACCGAGTCGGTTTGAGACTGTCGAAGGAAAAAGCGTGCTTATGTGTGTGTATGTTTCCATATACGCATCTATACCTGTATGTGTATGACAGTTGTGTGCCGATATACGAAAAGAGGCAAGAATACCTTTTGAGGTACGGTGAATCGCGAAATGTAGATCAATAGGGCAAAGAGAACTGTCGGTCAAAAAGATCGGACAGGTACCATTACGATAGAGAATATAATGGTTCCGAAATCGCGGAACGTTGTTTTAACCACAGCTTTAAATCTCGTAAATTTTCAACTTGAATGAAACGTGAGATTTTTTTTAAGATTCCGTCTGTTTTCTTTTTCCCGTAGTTATAGGCTTGTGTTAAAAGTCTATTACTTTCAATCATGAATTATCAATGAATCTAGTCTATATAAAATCCAATCTAATGAAACTTGGCTAAAATCCATTAAAAAGAATATAAAAGAATATAAAATTTATGCCAGGAATATGAAAACGAATATTTTCTTTCAAGTCTTTGCGAACTTAAAATATATTACAAAGTTTTAAAGATTTACAGTTTTACGATGCTGCATAGATTAATCTGTCGATTGCGAAATTTTTAAGATATTATCTAAGAAATTAAATATGCGTTGTTTAGAATGTCTAAACGCTCGGTTAACTATTAACAAGTTGTGTCAGAAGCGAATTTTAAGTTCTGAGTTTGTTAAGGCTCTAGTTTGAGAATCATGGGAATTTTAACGATCTATAATGACACTTGATTATTCATTGATTCAGCAATCACGTTCAGTCAGAATATCAATGAATAGTTCTGCGGCTGAATGCAAAGTACACGTTCCACCATCGCTCTTTCCGTTTTGCGAATTGGCAAAGAGATCAAATAGAGGGTACGAGAGCAGATTGTCTGCGGTTGTCGTGTGTTGTGTGTACGTGAGTGCGTGTACGTGTGACTGCACATGTCAGTGTATGACTGGGAGGGTGGATGAAAAGGAGAGAGTTGAAGAGTGAGATCTGAGAGAGAGAGAGAGAAAGAGAGAGGGGGGGGGGGAGGGAGGAAGGCAAGTAAGAAAGAACGGAGAAAATAAAAGAAAGAGAAGGAAGGTTTCGGGGCCGCTCGTCCATAAACGGAGAATACTGATCGCATTCCTCTCGAACTGATCGATTCTCCCTTCTTGATTTGCAGATACGTATTCACGATATGCAGCTATTTGATTGGTGTCTTCATATTCGCGACGATCGTCGGCCAGGTTGGTAACGTAATAACTAATCGAAACGCGAACCGCCTCGAGTTTGAAAGGCTTCTGGATGGCGCCAAAACCTTCATGAGAAATCACAAGGTGCCGGATGATATGAAACAACGGGTGCTTAGATGGTACGACTACAGCTGGTCGCGCGGCCGGATACAGGGCGCGGGTGACATCAATAGCGCTCTCGGTCAACTCCCGGACAAGCTCAAGACTGAATTGGCATTACACGTGAATCTCAAGGTGCTGAAGAAAGTCACTATATTCCAGGTAAGTCTCCCCTATTCATGCACGCGCGAGTAGCTTTCCCCCGTATTCTCAATGAAATTCTACGAAAGGCAGTGATATGTAAGTGGGGATTCTCACGTCCACAATAGAAGTCAATTTATTCTGAAGAAAATGTAACGAATGTTTTTTATGGTTATTTGTTGAAGCGCCAAAAAAAACTAGATTTTGCATTTTTTCCGTTGTTTTCGTTAACGACATCGCACTAACAACTTAATTCGATAAATATGCGTAATAAGTATCCGTGTAATTGGTAATAAACGATATAAACAGCAACAAAGTAAATGTTCTTGATGTTTAAAGACGTAAAATTTTGGAAGATGCCAATGGATTTTACAATTAAAATATTTTAGCTTGTTAGGCGTATGATAGAAAAATTCCTTTGATATATTAACTCATGTTTCTCGTAATGTTTATTTCGACAACAAAATGGAAATTGCTTCTTTTTGGTCACACGATCCTATGTGTTAATAAGTAAGTGCAATTTGCGGTGGTAAAATATCGCGCGGTTTTTCATGAAATACAATCCCAAGGAAGATTTCAGTAGACTCGGGATATATATGAATCTCTGTTAAGGGAACGACGTTAAAGCCGGGTAAATATTTGAGCGAAAACATTGGTTTGTGTACCCTACATCCAGAGGAAAACTTTTAAGAGAGCACATGAGTGAGATTTTAAAGACGTGACAGCTTAAGGACGTTTATGACACAACTCAATTAGAGTCGTCCCCGCTTTTCCATTTATGCGTACTATATTTCTCTACGCTATTTCATATTGAATGTGTGTTGTGACTTCTTCGACAAACTCGGAAGAGACATATAGAGGGATGTGACAAAATAATTTTTTTTCTATCGCGATAAAAGGCTATCGCCAAGTTCGAGGATCAAGAGAATCAAGTCGTTTCTCTGCGATATAATTACTTAAGATTAAGATCATTAAGAGTAGAAGTGTTTTTTATGAGCTATCAGTTTGTTGCTACTAGCCGATCGCAGCAACTTCGGGATTTAGGAACTTTAGTAAAGGAGATTTACTCATGTAACCACTTAAGTTCCGTTATCGGAACGAGAGGCAATTTTTGTCAGTAAGTGGTGAGCCGCGGCGTATCTCTTGTAAATCCTTTTCCTCTGCTGCGGCTGGAAGCTTGTCATCCGATAAAAATAAGAAAAAGAATACAGGTGCGGAGAAGTACGTGCAAGGAAGTATTCGGAAAGTTTTACGGTCAGGGAGCGACGCAGAATCATTATGGAGACAAAGTGCCGCGGTGAATTTCTCTTGATCGTCTCGAGTTTTTGCCGTACAGAATTTCTCTCACGTCGCCTTATACACGTTAAAAATATTCGACCAAGTCGTTTAACGTAGAAATTTTTTGCTTTGACATTAAGAGTTGCTTTGACGTTAAAAATTTGTTTGTAGAAGTCACATTTTTAACGCGTCGTAAAACGACTGTCCTCCGGATATATTTTTTCATGGAAAAACCACATGACAGTAGAAAGAAGAATGGAGAAAAAGCGCGATACAGAAGGTAGATCTAAAAAGTTAAATCCCTGGAAGGTAAATGGCGAGTACGTGATAAACTGATATAAAGTGGAGTGGCCGTTGTAAGCTTGGCGAGACTTCTTGAGGGCTCTCGACGAGGAAGAAATCGAGAAAAATTGCAACAAATCGTAATCGTTGAAACGCGTAACTTCTATTTGAAAAATTCAATTGCACTTGAAAATTCTGCATGTGAAATTTTCCGCAAAATACATTCGATCGGACACATAATCAATAAGGATGAATTTTCGATTTTAGAAAATTCGATGAATATCGATTTTCTTTCGTTCTATCTCATTTTGTCTCTCTCCAGAATATACAGCCAAACGAGAGAAGTAATTAAAGTTGTCGAACGTACGTCAGTACTGGTATTCCTTCATGATAGATTCACCCGTGGAGAAACAAAGCCGAAACTTCGCTATCTTACCTCGGCACTGATATTTGCAGTAGTAAACTCACAGCGCAACATTATTCATTCAGTGATCTTGCTCAAGATATTCGATAACTTTGCTTTTGCGCCTTCGAAAAATGATGTATGTGTGTGAGAACGTACGCATATATTTTACAACATAACTTTATAATTTTGTTCCTTCTATATTTCAGGTACAATTCAGTTTGCAGCATTATAATTTATGATCGAAAGCATTTAATTATCAATCGAATTTTATTCCACATTTTTGTCGCATTATAAATTATAATACGAATTTAAAATAAAATTAAGCCGATTAGATTTACATATATCTCGCTTTTATCCTCTATTAAAAAACCAATAAAATAAACCTGAAATAAAAATGGTTTATTTATTTTGTGTCAGCAATGATTAATATTGTGATAGCAAATGATTTATTGCCAATGTACATTCCATCACCTTGCACAATTTACACGTGTTTCAGACAAATTTGCTTATTTTGTACTGTAAGTAATTGATGAAGGTGGGTCTTTACTCGATATATTATAACGTTATTTGCGCGAAACTTGAGCATCTGGACGCTCACTGCAGACGTGATTAAATTTGATTTTGTGCTTCTAACGAGGAGATCATAGTAAGTCTCAATGCGGAAATTAAGTATATTGAACGATACGGAAGTGTATTGAACATATTTTAATTAAAATCTTTCTCACCTCGCGCGCTTTTTTTATCAGCCGCATATTTTTATCACAATGTTTATAAAACCGCGACGGACGTCTTAATGAGATCTCGGCTCCAAAGTTAGTTTTTTCTCAATGAGATAAATTTTATGTTCCAATGTATCATGTTTATATTGTTTTATCTGGAAATTGTGTCAGATTTTTTGTTGTATCCTGCACGAAAATTGGATTATAAAACGGGATAACTTCGTGGTTTACAAATAGAGTAGAGCGGAAATAAACTCATTCAACCTTCTTCTGAGACAGAGGCTGTCAGAATATAGTCCTTAAGATAACAAGCGCATAGACTTATCGGAATAATGAAGTCGGCGCATTTCGGACGACTATCAAAGCAATCGGTCGATATTGATTTGTACACATCTAATAAAAAATTTCATTAATTTGAATTGGAGCATACAAAATGAGTTGTTCAGACACTTATTAATTACTGAAGAAGAAAAGTAGAGCTTTACTAATGCCGACGTATGCCAAACTATCTAAGAACCGAAAGTCACTACTTTAATTCTGGATTTCTCACACTAATTGTAAGAAAAATGGTTTGGTTGAAAATTAATCACACACACACACACACACACACACACACACACACACACACACACACACACACACACACACACACACA